ATAAAAGAGCTCTGTGACCAACCCAAATGAAGCAACATTCACATAACAGGGATGCCAGAAGGAGAAGAGACACACAAAGGGAAAGAAAGGAAATAATTGTTGAAAACTTCCCCAATTGGGGAAAAGAAATAAACACTCAGATCATGGAAGTTCAGAGAGCCCATAACAAAAGGAACCCCAAGAGGACAACACCAAGACTTCTAATAATTAAAATGGCAAAGATTAAGGATAAAGAGAGAGTGTTGAAAGCAGCCAGAGAGAGAAAAAAGATTACTTATAAGGGAAATCCCATCAGGCTTTCAACAGATTTCTCAGCAGAAACTTTATGGGCCAGAAAGGAGTGGCAGGAAATATTTAATGTACTGAAACAAAAGGACCTTCAACCAGAACCCTCTATCTGGCAAGATTATCATTTAAATTTGAAGCAGGATTAAACAATTCCCAGATAAACAAAGGCTCAAAGAATTTATAACAACAAAATCAGCATTACAGGATATGTTAAAGGAACTGCTGTAGATGGAAATAAACCTGAGGCTAAGTAGTTTTGATTATGACATCTAATACATAAAGTGTGGAGAAGGAAGAATAAAAAGTGCTTTTAGATTGTGTTTGAAATAGACCAATCAGCAACTTAACACAGACTGTTATATAGTCAGGAAGCTATCCTTGAGCCTTTGGTAACCACAAACCTGAAGCCTGTAATAGCTACACAAAAATTAAAAAAGAGAAATCCAACCACAACAGTAAAGAAAACCATCAAATAACAAGAAAAGAGTATAACAGAGGAAGAAAGGAACAGAGGGGAGCTATAAAAACAAAGAAAACTGTTAATAAAATGGCAATAAGTACATATCTATCAATAATTACCTTAGATGTAAATGGACTGAATGCACCAATCAAAAGACAGAGTGGTAGAATGGATAAGGAAACAAGATCCATCTATATGTTGCCTATAGGAGACTCATTTTAGATCCAATGACATATACACTGAAAGTGAAGGATGGGAAATATATTTCATGTGAACAATGAGGAGAAAAAAAGCAAAAGCAGCAGTAATTGTAAGTACTTAGATCAAACACAGTAGACTTCAAAACAAAGAAAGTAACAAAAGACAAAGGACATTATATAATGATAAAGGGGTCAGTCCAACAAGAGGATATAACCATTATAAATATCTACACACCCAACACAGGAGCACCCGAATATGTACAACAAATACCAACAGAATTAAAGGGGGAAACAGAATGCAATGTATTCATTTTAGGAGACTTTAACACAGCACTCACATCAACAGACAGATAAACCAGACAGAAAATAAGTAAGGAAACAGACGCACTGAACAACACATTAGATCAGATGGACTTAACATATATCTACAGAACATTCCACCCAAGAGCAGCAGGATACCTATTTTTCTCAAGTGTACATGGAATGTTCTCCAGAACAGATCACATACTAGTCCACAAAAAGAGCCTCAATAAATTCAAAAAGACTGCCACTGTATCAAGCAACTCCTCAGACCACAATGGCATGAAACTAGAAATAAATTACACAAAGAACAAAAAGCCCACAAACACATGGAGACTAAATAACATGCTTCTACATAATCAATGGATCAATGACCAAATTAAAATAGAAATCAAGGAACATATGGAGACAACTGAAAACAAAATTCAACAGTCCAAAATTTCTGGGATACTATAAAGGCTGTTCTAAAAGGGAAATAGCAATACGGGCCTATCTCACAAAACAAGAAGAATTCCAAATAGTCTAAACTCACAGTTAAAGAAAATAGAAAAAGAACAAATGAAACTCAAAGTTAGTAGGAGGGACATAATAAAGATCAGAGCAGAAATAAATAGAGAAGAATATAACAGGAAAAAAAAAATCAATGAAACCAAGAGCTGGTTCTTTGAGAAAATAAAGTAGACAAAACCCTAGCCAGACTTACCAAGAAAAAAAGAGAGTACACAAATAAACAAATTCAGAAATGAAAAAGCAAGTCACAATGGATACCAGAGAAATAAAGATTTATTAGAGAATTTTATGAACAATTACATGCCAATATATTAGAAACCTAGAAGAAATGGACAAATTCATAGAAAAATACAACTTTCCAAGAATGACCCAGGAAGAAACAAAATTTGAACAGACCAATTACCAGCAATGAAATGGAACTGGTAATCAAAAAACTCCCATAAAGCAAAAGTCTGTTACCAGGTTGCTTCACAGCTGAATTCCACCAAACATTTAGAGTTAATATCCATCCTTCTTAAAGTATTTCAAAAGACAGAAGAGGTGGATATACTTCCAAACTCATTCTATGAGGACAATATCACTCTAATACCAAGACTGGACACCAAGAAAAAAGAAAATTTTAGACCCATATCCCTGATGTACATGCAAAAATCCTCAACAAAGTATTAACAAACTGAATTCAAAAATACATCAAAAAGATCTTTCATGACTAAATGAGATTTATTCCAAGGATGCAAGGATGGTACATTATCTGTAAATCAATGTCATACACCACATAAACAAAAAGAATAAAAACTATATATATGATCATCTCAATACTGAAAAAGCATTTGACAAAATTCAACATCCATTCATCATAACAATGCTAAAAAAAATGGGAATAGAAGGTATGTACCTCAACCTAATAAAGGCAATATACAAGAAACCCACAGGTAACATCATACTCAATGGCAAAAAGCTGAAAGCTTTTCCTCTAAGATCAGGAACAAGACAAGGATGTCCACTCTCACCACTTTTATTCAACATAGGACAGGAGGTCCTAGCCACGGCAATCAGACAAGATAAGGAGATAAAAGGCATCCAAATTGGTAAGGAAGAAGAAAACTGTCACTATTTGCAGATGACATACTATATGTAGAAAATCCTAAAGACGCCACCAAAAAACTATTAGAAATGATAACTGGATTCAGCAAAGTTGTAGGATACAAAATTAATACATAGAAATCTGTTGCATTCCTATATATACTAACACGGAACTAGCAGAAAGAGTAACCAGGACAACAATCCCATTCACAATTCTGTCAAAAAGAATAAAATACCTAGGAATAAACCTAACCAAGGAGGTGAAAGACCTGTACTCTGAAAACTACAAGACACTCATGAGAGAAATTAAAGACACAAATAATGGAACTCTGTTCCATGGTCATGAATAGATGGAATTAACATTGCCAAAATGGCCATCCTGATCCCAAAGCAATTTACAGATTCAATGCAATCCTTATCAAAATACCAATAGCATTTTTCAATGAACTAGAGCAAATAATCCTAAAATTCATATGGAACCACAAAAGATCCTGAATAGCCAAAGCAATTCTGAAAAAGAACAACAAAGCTGGGGGATTATGCTCCCTGACTTCAAGCTATACTACAAAGCTAAGGCTATAGTAATCAAAACAGATCCATAGATCAATGGAACAGAATAGAAAGCCTAGATATAAACTCACACATATATGGTCAAGTAATGGACGATGAAAGAGCTGTGGATATAAAATGAGGAAAAGACAGCCTCTTCAATAACCAGTGTTGGGAAAACTAGACATCTTCATGGATTACTGTCTAATGCCATACACAAAAGTAAACTTGAAATGGACCAAAGACCTGAAAGTAAGACATGAAACCACAGAACTCTTAAAAGAAAACATAAGCAAAAATCTCTTGAATATAAGCATGAGCAATGATTCCTGAACACATCTCCTCAGGCAAGGGAAACAAGATTAAAAATGAATGAGTGGGACTACATCAAACTAGAACTTCTGTACAGCAAAGGACACCATTAATAGAACAAAAAGGCAACTTACAGAATGGGAGAATAGATTCCTAAATGATTTATCCAATAAGGGGTTAACATACAAAATGTATTAAAGAATCCATATGCCTCAACACCCAGAAAAACAAACAACTCAATTAAAAAATGAGCAGAGGACTTGAACAGACACTTCTCCAAAGAAGAAATACAAATGGCCAATAGGCACATAAAAGGATGCTCCAAACTGCTAATCATTAGGAAAATGAAAATCAAAACCATAATAGGATATAACCTCACACCAGTCAGAATGGCTAGTATTCAAAAGACAAGAAATAACAAGTGTTGGGGAGGATGTGGAGAAATGGGAACCCTCCTACACTGTTGGTTGGAATGTAAATTGGTACAACCACTGTGGAAAGCAGTACGGAGGTTCCTCAAAAAACTAATAGAAATACAACTTGATCCAGTAATTCCACTTCTAGGGATTTACATGAAGAAAACAAAATTCCTGATTCGAAAAGATATATGCACCCGTAAGTTTATCACTGCATTATTTATAATAGCCAAGTTATGGAAGCAACCTAAGTGTTCATCAATAGATAAATGGATAAAGAAGAGGTGGTATATATACCCAATAGAATATTATTCAGCCACAAAAAAGGAAAGAAATTCTGCCATTTTTAACAGCATGGATGGACCTAGAGGGTATTATGCAAGTGAGGAAAGCCAGGTGGAGAAAAACAAATACCGTATGATTTCACTTGTGAATATAAATACAAAACTGAACTAAATGAATCAATAGCAGTAGACTCACAGACACTGAGAAGTGACTGGTGGTTACCATGGGGGAGGGGTCAGGGTGGGTGGGGAAGGGGATAAAAGGGCACTAAACTTCTCAATCATAATATAAGTTGGTAATCGGGATGACAGTACAGCATGGAGAATATAGTCAGTGATTCTGTAACCTCTTCTTATGTAGACAGATAATAAACAACTGCATTAGTTGGGGTGAGGATTTAAATATATGGATAACTGTTGAAACACTGTGTTGTATACCTGAAAACAACATAAGATTGTGTATTAGTGACTTCAATAAAAAAAAAGTTAATTCAGTCATTTCTCTGAGAGTTTTCAAAAGAACATATACATGTTTTTCTGAAACTTCCCTTGTTGCCCAAGTGATCATTTGACTATTCACACTAAAAAGGATACTCACCTTCATAATCTCTTATTGAATCTTCTGTCCGGACTCCAGCCATGTTATACTGGCTGCTAACAGACTGAGACAGCATTCCTTCTAATCTCTCCAATGTGGCCTGGCCTTCGGCTGTTAAATGGGATAATCCTTCTTCATAGGTATAAAATGTTGGGATGTCCCCCTGCCCTTGCTCTAAAAAAATTAAAGGCTTTTAAGTTATTATAAAACAATTCAAAAAATATATATATATAATCAATAATGCATTTACTGAAGATAAAATAGAGGAAAAAGGCCCCCAAGAAAATACTTTTCAACATTCATTTAACACACACATATAAACCATTTGTTGAAGATAAAGATAAAGATAACAAAAAAAATTTTCCTACCCTGCAAGGTAAGAAGGGATTACAAGAGTAATGAGCCAGTAAACAACAACTCCCAAAGAATCAAGTATCTGGAGACTAGAAGGAAAAGAAGGTGTTCCAAGGGTCAATAAGTGCGGGGAAGTTGGGGTTCCTACGGCCAGGATCCTAACTGAACTTAAACCACTTGATGATGTGACTGGCCTGTTGCTAGGCTACCACTTCCACACCTTTAGGCAATAAGCTATTATTGCACTACATAGAGAGTTCGCCCAGTGCTCTGGGCAGAGGCAGAGATGCTAGTGCTCGACCTACTGCCAAGAGAGCAAGCCAGGTTACAAACACTTTCACCCCGAAGAAACAGTCTACTGTCATTTCTTTGGTCACACTGAATCCACAGCGAACTTGCCGGGGGCTGAAACCCACTGGCAAGACAATTGGCGAAGGTGGCAGGGTTCATTGATGACCAATGAAAAAGACAGGCTGCTCTTATGGGAGGGGTGCTTCAGCGGGCTGCCCCTATGAATGGGGAGACAGTGGATTGTCCCCCAGTGGGTATGTGGTTTGAGGTGGCTTGCCTCCTGAGAGCTGGGCCCCACCCCAGGACTGGAGGCAAGTGGAAGTGATACCTGAGGCAGTAGGGGGTAGCCCTTGGTATAGTAAGTAGGTCTTTTGAGAGACAGAGTGCCGGTGAGGCAGCGGGGACTGCGGGCTGGCTGCTTCTCACAGTATTAAAAAAGTCTACAGAAGAGAAGGACATGCTCCTGAAAAAAACCAAGAAATGGCAGCACGAGAACACAAGCTGAAAATTTCTGTGGATTCCCTGAAAAAGGAAATGGTATTGATGCGAGAGGAGGCAGCACGAGAACTCGGCAGCAAGGTGTAGCTGAAGAGAAAAGACTCCTTACAGAACGAAATGGCAGCACTGCCCAGTGCTCTGGAGGAGGAAAAGGCCATCAAGGAAAAAGACAAACTCCTGAGGGAAGCACAGGTGGAAGTGGCATGAGAACACCAGCTGCAAAGCATTGAGGTGAAGGTAAGAGAGCTGCTGAAGACCTGGCTAGCACTGCTGTGAGGCACAGTAGAAAAGGTAAAGGTTGTAGCAGAGGAAGCACTCGGGGGAGGGGAGAGAAAGGTGCCATCAGCCCCAGAAATGGAGGACCTGGAGAAGGATGAAGGGGTGGTGTCAGAGGCACTGACCCCTCCTCTACTGAAAGCACACCCAGTGGTTGTAAAGAAAATAAAGACCCTGCAGCTGAGAATTCCCCAAGAAGAGGAACAGCACTGCCCTCCCCCCCTCACCCTCAGGTCATGGAGCACTCTATGGTTCGCCCCTATACGCAAGCTGAGCTGGTGGATTTGAGCTCCCAGTTTAGGCAGAAGCCCTTGGAGTCAATCATCTTGGCTCCAGCGTCTGTGGAACTTAGGGGTGGATGGAATTGTTCTGTTGGGATCAGAGATGGGAAAGCTGGCTTCCCTGACAGTTCAGCACACCTCAAAACAGCGACTACAAAGTGCACATCAGACCCCAGGGAATCACTCCCTCCTCAATTGACTTATGGCTGCACTTTGTGCTGTGTGGCCCAATCAGGGTGATCTACCATCCTCTCCTGCTAGATGGCAGACGTCTGCTGAGCTCCAACAGGTGTTACCAGAGCTAGGCATAAGAAATGCCATCTATAGTCCAGAGAATCATGGCCCAGAAGAAGAGCCTTTCACTACTGGGATGAGAAATATTGTGCTTCAAATGGCTCCCACATCCCTCTTTGGGTCTCTAGTGGCCATTCTTCCCCCTCACTTAGGGCAGCGCATAAGCAAAGTGACACATACAGTAGCAGACTTAGGAGAGACTGAAGCAATGAGAACATGGAAAAAAATAAGGTCTGCTACTCACAAGAAGAAATTAAAGGGCCTCATGAAGGTTACAAGGACCCAGATGTGGGTTGATTTAAAACAGGCAGGAGCAGACGGAAGGTAATTAGACAGGAAGTCAAATAGGATCTTGCAAGACCTATGGCAACAACTGAAATGACAGCAGCAGTTCCAGCTGTGGGCAGCCCCTAAAATGGAGGGCCATAGCTTTCCATCCTAAGACTGAGACAATATGGATGGAAGAAGGCAAGGGAAAGAGCAGCCAAAGGGCAGAGTTGTGGGCCATGTGGCTTGTGATCAGCCAGGAGCCCTCCCTATAGCTGTCTGCACTGACAGCTGGGCTGTCTATTGGGGCTTGACAGTTGGGGCCTGCAGCTACCAACCTGGTACCATGCCAACTCGCTGGTTGGTCACTGACCCCTTTGGGGGCAAGAATTGTGGTGGTAAGACTTATGGACCTGTGGTCAGACTGAAATAATTACAGTATGCCATGTGACCGTCATTTGCCACTGGCATCCCCAGGAAATGATGAAGTAGATAAACTGGCACAGATACGCTGGTTAGAAGGAAAGCCTGCCTCTGATGTAGCCCAATGGTTACATCAGCTTTTGTTGCATGCGGGGCAAAAGACAATGTGAGTTGTAGTCCATTGGTGGGGCTTACCTTTGACCTTTGAAAAAGTTAGTAAAGCCCAGCAGGAGTGTGTCATATGCTCTAAAAGGGACTTACACCGAACACCACAGCAACATGGGACAATAGCTAAGGGGCCTAATACCCCTCGCAGGTGGCAGATAGACTATACTGGGCCTCTACCTGTGTCAGAAGGATATTAGTATGCCATGACTTGTGTGGACACAGTGACTGGACTTCTCGATGCTTTTCCTACTCATTGTGCAGACCAGGAGACGACCAAAAGAGGCCTGGAGCGTCTCTTTGCCACCTGTGGCCGATCACAGGTAATTGAGAGTGATCAGGGCACTACGTTTACTGGACATACATTGTAAGAATGGGTGCGACAGCTGGGAATCAAATGGAAGTTTCATGTGCTATACAATCCTACTGCAGCAAACATGACAGAGAGGCACAATGGCTTCTTAAAATCTGGACTAAAGTCAGATACCAATAGTCTGCGTGGATGATCAGTCCGCTTATGGACCGTGCTATGGCATATGAATGAGAGATCCCAAAAGGGAGCCCTGAGCCCCATAGACATGTTAACACATATGGCTGCCTTCCCTATACAACTGCAAGTACAAACCAAGGAAGAATCACTGAAGCCAAGGTTCGGCCACAAGAATATCTTGCTGCCAGTGCCAACTGCACTGAACCCTGGAGACTCTATTGAGTGGACGTGGCCCCTGGATCTTTCAACACATAGACCAATGATGTCTGGCTCTCCTGGCATCTTGGGGACAAGGCCTGGAAGCTGGCCTCCTGTGTACTCCTGGAATAACAGCGGAGTGGCCCCTAAAGATCACAGTAGTATATCCTCAATGTCCAGAAGGTAGGAGCATCTTACCAGGGAGTTTTGTTTCATCATTATGGCCAGTGCATGCACCTCCAGTAGCACTATATATAGACCCTTCAGTAACCCCCACTGGGAGAGAAGTAAAAGTATGGTATACTAGACCTGGAAGGGACCCCCTTCCTGCTACAGTCCTATCACAAGACCACACTCTTGCATGCATCCTACCTGATGGACAAGATTCGCCTATGTTGGTGTCATTTAAACATGTGTCTTATCGCCCCTGAAGTCTTTGTGGATTGGGAACTTCCTCTGGCTTGAAGATTATTATAATTTTTGTTACCTATATCAAAATCTTGTTGTATCTTAATTTTTGTTATTATCTCTGTTGTTGTTAGCCTCTGTTGCTGTTGTGGAATCTGGTTACAGTGCTCCAGCTTTCTCGCACAGGGACCACTGCAGAAGATTGAGAGCGTGTAGACTGTGAGGTGAGAATCCTGGAGGGGTGGAGTGTGGGGAAGTTGGGGTTCCTATGGCCAGGATCCTCACTGAATTTAAACCACCTGATGATGTAACCGACCTGTTGCTAGGCTACTGCTTCCACACCCACAGGCAATAAGCTATTATTGCACTATATAGAGAGTTCAGCCCAGTGCTCTGGGCAGAGGCAGAGACGTTAGCGCTCAACCTATCGCTGGGAGAACAAGCTGGGTAATAAATCCTTTCACCCCAAAGAAACATTCTACTATCACTTCTTTGGTCATACCGAATCCATAGTGAACTTGCTGGGGGCTGAAACCCATTGGCAAGACAGCAAGTTTTATACCAAGGTGGGAATTTTATAGGAGAGTGCAAATGAACTTGGTATTAATTTGTACTAAAGTTTTTTCCTGATGCTCCTTACAGGCACTCAAGTTATAAGACTCTACCAGGCTTGTGACTGCATATGCTCTGGGAGGCAAAGGGAAATACTCTTGGATAAATGAAGCATGATTCTGAGAAAAATAAAAAATTCCTTTTTCAGCTCATTTGACAGTGAGCTGTTTGAAGGAATATGTTAAACAAAGATACATATGATACAGGTTTCCATAGGTGGAGGGAAAAGGTTTGTTCTCTGGGAGGAGGTGCATCAACTTAAGACTCTCCTGACTATCCACTTTCCTTCCTACCCTTTTCTTTCCTTCCATTTATCCCTATCCATTTTCTCCCCTAAGTAACCTCTATTTTTCACCCTCAAGCTTAGATGGCTCATGATTTTTTACAATTTGGTTTAGACATGAATTGTGCCATTCGCTTTTATTAATAACCATTAATAACTATGTTTGGGCCATGTGGCTTGTGATCAGCCAGGAGCCCTCCCTATAGCTGTCTGCACTGACAGCTGGGCTGTCTATTGGGGCTTGACAGTTGGGGCCTGCAGCTACCAACCTGGTACCATGCCAACTCGCTGGTTGGTCACTGACCCCTTTGGGGGCAAGAATTGTGGTGGTAAGACTTATGGACCTGTGGTCAGACTGAAATAATTACAGTATGCCATGTGACCGTCATTTGCCACTGGCATCCCCAGGAAATGATGAAGTAGATAAACTGGCACAGATACGCTGGTTAGAAGGAAAGCCTGCCTCTGATGTAGCCCAATGGTTACATCAGCTTTTGTTGCATGCGGGGCAAAAGACAATGTGAGTTGTAGTCCATTGGTGGGGCTTACCTTTGACCTTTGAAAAAGTTAGTAAAGCCCAGCAGGAGTGTGTCATATGCTCTAAAAGGGACTTACACCGAACACCACAGCAACATGGGACAATAGCTAAGGGGCCTAATACCCCTCGCAGGTGGCAGATAGACTATACTGGGCCTCTACCTGTGTCAGAAGGATATTAGTATGCCATGACTTGTGTGGACACAGTGACTGGACTTCTCGATGCTTTTCCTACTCATTGTGCAGACCAGGAGACGACCAAAAGAGGCCTGGAGCGTCTCTTTGCCACCTGTGGCCGATCACAGGTAATTGAGAGTGATCAGGGCACTACGTTTACTGGACATACATTGTAAGAATGGGTGCGACAGCTGGGAATCAAATGGAAGTTTCATGTGCTATACAATCCTACTGCAGCAAACATGACAGAGAGGCACAATGGCTTCTTAAAATCTGGACTAAAGTCAGATACCAATAGTCTGCGTGGATGATCAGTCCGCTTATGGACCGTGCTATGGCATATGAATGAGAGATCCCAAAAGGGAGCCCTGAGCCCCATAGACATGTTAACACATATGGCTGCCTTCCCTATACAACTGCAAGTACAAACCAAGGAAGAATCACTGAAGCNAACCATTAATAACTATGTAGGTACTTAATAGAGATATAAAAACTATAAGCCTATACCTTTAGTACAAATAAATGCTTAAAAGGAAACATAAACACACTTTAAAAAATCCAGTTCACTAACCATGTGCTTCTACATCATATTCTTCTTCATCATAATCATCTGAATCTTCATCCTCAGGATCTGGATGCAAAGCCTGGCATTCACACATTGCAGTGAACATTGCCTCCACTGAACAAGGAAATTAAATTGGAATTAAGGTTTTTTCTGGCCAATGTAAAATACAAATTTAATAAAATAATCATTAGTGCAAATAAATTTAGTGGCTAGACAAGAGGTCACAACATTTATAAACAGCAAATTCCAAGAGAATCAATCTTGAAAAGAACTTGATAGCAATGGACAAGCCACAAAATAATAAGAGTTCATTTTGAGATATTACTGAGATCTCTTCATGTCTGGCTGGATTTCCTGAGAAAATGAACCAGAATACTGGTCAAACTGCTGGTGTCAGGGTGAAGCCTCTCTCTGCTAACAGGGCTCTTTGCAGCTATCCTGGCATTGTCCACTTTGGACCTGCTATGATTCTTCCTTCTCTCCAGTGAGATTCAGTCGGCAGCATCAAGTCATTGATGGCAGATTCCTCATTCACAAAGTACTGAGTGACATGGTGTGTACTATACTCTCACTATTTCATAATCTCCGATATTAATAGGTATACTGTCTTCAGTGACATTACAGTTGTTAAAAGAAGAAAAAGCAAATGAACAGAGATAATGGGGGAAAAGGTAACAGTGTGTGTGTGTGTGTGTGTGTGTGTATGGGGGAATACCTGGTACATAAAGGAAAAGAATCAATTCTATAGAACACTCACAGGCTGATTTATCACTAGGCACAAATCTAAATTCAGCAATAGGTTCAACATCATCATCACTGTCTTCCTCTTCTTCATCAGCAACAGATTCTTTTGAATCTTCTAGAAAAGGAATAAAAATAATTTTTTAATGATGCTGTTTTATAAAAAAAGCCTAAAAGAATCTCTTAAAGGATGCTTATTTATGTATCTAAATACTGCAATTCAATTTTTACCTCAAATTATAAGAACATGGTTACTTTAGAGCAACAAAAGACTGGATAGTCTCTCTGGTCTACAGTCAAACTGTACTTCATTGAGCCCTTGGGATTCCCAGCCCTTCATATCATGGTGGAGGTGTGGAAACCCAAACAGGGCTCTAACAAGCATAGCTCCATCGTCATCTCCTCCTTTTAACGTTCACCTTAAGACAAAGGGTTCAGCAGCAGTTTGCAAACCACTGATGTGATTTATCATCAACAATTTACAAATGAGAAAACTAAAGCTCATAAAAGTTAACAACCCAACAGATAAATTAACAAAGTCTGTAAGCAAGACAAAAAATACAAATGTTCAAAAAGAGTACATGTTGCTAGTGGAAATGGAAACTGCTATACCACTCCAGAGATGTGTATATCTTACTACCCAACAATTCCTCATCTAAGTATATTTATATATATAAGGAGTTGTACAGAAATATTAATTCAAGTACTATATGTACTAGTGAAAATATAAAAAACAAATGTTGATTTCAAAAAGGAAATAGATGTATTGCAACATGGTCATTTTGTTTTATAGATAGCTAAAAATGAACAAAATGATTTATATGTATCAAAATGGACAGATTTAAAAATATAAGTGAAAGCGCTACTTGCAGAATATATAAATAATATTTAAATTAAATATTTAATACTTATATTAAAATTTTTAAAAAACAATTATATTGTTTATGGGTATATACATAGTTGGTAAAAAACTAAAAGCATAGACAGGAAAGACATATACATTCTTAGGACAGTGTTTAACTCTGGAGATAGAGAGTAGGGAATGAAATGGGAGGAGTACAAAAAGGATTTCAACAGACTGATAATTTAAATTTCTTTAAAAGACTAGAGTAATTATGAAAAGTTAGAATTTATGTTGGATATTAAATAACGAAAATTTTTACTACTTTCCGAACTTCTCAATGTTTGAATTATTTCATTTAAAAAAGTAAACAAAATACTTAAATAGACCCCCGAAACACCAAAACATGTTCAAAACAAATAATCTTAAAAATATACATTAAATATTGTTAAGTACATTAAAGATACCATTTTTTAAAAAATGTTGATTCTCCACACAGAAGATAAGGTGGAAAGGTATTCTTATACACTGCTATTGAAAATGTAAAGTGATGTAAATTCTGGAAAGCAATTTGACAATATATGTTAGGAGCTTTAAAAATGTTACCTTTAATGCAGCAATTCTACTCAATAGGAATCAATTATAGGGGGTATCCACTGAATTTTTTTTTAACTTTAATGAAAAAATAGATATGCAAAAAAGGAAAAAACTTTAAATGGCTACCATAAACAATTTTAAATAATATAGTAGGACTTTTTTCTGCCTTGTTTCTAATGGTGTTACATTGTTGAATATAATAAACATGTCCTCTGTAAACAAGTACAATAATACAAAAATATCAGAGAATTCTCAGTAATTGAATACATTATGATACTGGCAAACTTTTCAATGCATTTTAAAAAACAAAATGGTCATACTGTAATTACTGCCCTCTCACTGAATAAATATCATTCTTTAAACTATAAAAGTAATAAACATTGGCATAGAAATAATTGAAAGTTTAGATAGATTCAAAGGAAAAGGCCAGTCCCTACCACTCTAGTTCCTCTCCCCAGAAATAACCAATATTAATATTTCTTTTATATTCTTAGGAATCTACCTTAAAGCAATCAAAAGAAATATAATACAGTATCTTTACAATTAGGAAAAAAATACAACCATGGCCAACCCTCATCATCTCATTCTAGATCACAGTAGTGGTTGCCATCTTTCAGTTAGTTTAAACCATTCTAAATTTTCAACAAAGGAATGAATTTTTAGTTAATTTAAAAATAATCTAATGTCCTCAACAATAAAGTGATGGTCCACTTTAAAGAGATCTGTGGAGGTAAGCCACAGAGAAAAAAATGAGTTTGGAGAATCAGGAAGAGAGGAACAAAGGCTGGGAAAACAGGACCCAAGCATGTGTAAGTCATGAGAAGAGTGGAGTTAGAGATAAACAGAACTGGAGAACTACTCGAAATAAGTGTGACCTAAGAATATCCTACTTTCTAGTAAGATAGAAAAGTCCTACTTATTTTAGTAAGAAAGGATTAACCATAATTCCATCAACGTCAAGAAAATAATCCCATAGGGCAAATATTTAAAATACCTACCCCAAACCTACTGAATCCATACTTCCTAGTTTGGGACTCCCACCACTTACATTTTTAACAAGCTTTCCAGGTTATTGCTAATGCGCAGCCAAGTTTAAGATCTGACGACAACTACAATCCCCTAATCTTTCTGGATGAAACTGAGGCTCAGAGAGATAAAAATGATTTGCCTAACCAAGTTAATGGCAGAGTCTTCTTGTTCAGGATGCGTTTCTCTTTAGCTAGCTTTACTCAAGGGAGGTTTATTCAAACCCTACTTTCTCTGACCTAATTTTCACATATGCATCTGTACCCAATGTCAACTCTCTACACTGCTTATGGGCATTTCACATCAGTGTTTGAAACTGACTGACAAGGTATCTCTACGGTTTTGCATTTCTATGAATCAATGATGTTTTAAACTAAACATGCCATATAATTATACTCTTGGTTATAAAATGATAGTTGTGCTTAGATGAAAAGTGAACTTTGTGCCCAATACCTCCTCATTTAGAAGACTTAACTACAACCCAAGATTAACACCTCTTACTTTTCCTTACTATCTCTTTCAAACTTCACTAAATTTTTATCTCTTTGGACCTCTTCCCACAGAAAGAGTTCAAAATCTTATAACGAAAATATTTTCAGATAGCTAATCAGTCATTACTACCTGATGAGGCAGGGCTTGCTAAAAGCCCTAAAATTGCTAAATAATTAGCATCACACTGAATGTAAATGGTTATCCTATATCTGAAACCATATAAACTCCCAAATTGTAGGGGCAATAGGTCAACAGGCAAACTAATGGGATTGTCTTTTATACACTATTTCAAAGAAAAGCAACCCCCTTATTTTAAAACCAAACGTTTACTAAAGGTGTGACAAATGTCGTTTCAACCCCAAAGGTCTGCATTTCTACAAAAAAAATGAACATGTTAAACACAATATAGTATATAAACTTCTTAGTTAACACTTATAAAAACCAACACAAGTTTTTACCTTGTGACTAACTTGTCTGTCATTTGGAATTCTTACAACCCATTGTCAAAAGCCAAAAAATTTGATTTTTAAATCTTTCTTTTCCTTTCATTCATTAACTTCACTAATTTTTATGATTCTTTGCAGTTATCTCCAACAGCAAAATGTGGGGCTTCTGCACCATGGCATCTCTCACCTTTGGCATACTGACATTTGGACTGAGTACTTCTTTGTTGTGGAAGGCCATCCTGTGCACTGTAGGGTGCTCAGCAGCCTCCCTCCCCCTTGCCCGGCATGACAACCAACCTGCCATTGCCAAATGTGAGGGCAGGGCTGCATTATTCCCCACAGAGAACCACCGCTGTAACGGAACAAAAACAAAAGAGCTCTAGCCTATACTCCTGAAGCACAAGGTACACTGATGAAAATCTCTAAAGGTGCCAAATGTAACTGCCTTAACAAAGACAAAGAATAAACAGTTAAACTCAAGAGGAAAAATTATAAATATAAATACACAATAACTGAATAATTCTAAGTGCAAATACAAAGAAACAAAAGGCAGTGTCCAAATTACTTTACTGTGCTGAAATGTTGTTTTATATTGTCCAAAATATGTCAATGAGCTTGAATATTACATTGATTATGATGTAATACAAGACTGCTTTCTGAAATACAATATGCTACCAAAGGAAGCTCAAGATTAAATCACACCATACATACCTCCAAATTTGGCATTCACCATAACATACAAATGCTCCCGTGGATAGGCATTTAGGTCCCTGGACACTGCATGCAAACTAATGGTGGGGTATTCCAGTGAGAATCCTAATCCAGAGCCATCTAACCAAGACAGGCGGCTGAAAAACATGTTTTAAGTAGGTTATTTTAAGAAATTAAATCCTAATTTAATATCCTGAAGTTTTTAAAGGTTCAGCTTGGACACTCTATGCATGTGAATAAATTCAAGCTTACTGTTTAGAAATATTTATAAAATAAGAGAATTCAGCAGCAGGAATTGAATTTCTTTAAGATCAAATTCTTTTAGGGTCTTTTCCTCTACCTAAAAATTTAAATAGATTTGTAATGCTATTTTTCTTGAGTCACATGTGTGTTTCTACTCCTGTTCTTATTCAAAATGTCTTCAGATTATTGCTTTGCTTTGCAAATCCTCTTCCTCTGATTAAGGCCCAACTCCTCTAAGAGCTCTCCCTCCAATTACTCTTCTCCATAACGATCTCATCTTTTTCTAAACTGCACTTATGCTCAGTAATACACCATTCAGAACTTAACTCTATGTAGTCTTATATGTCCCTGACAGAATGTGAGCTGCTTGATAGAAGCTGTCATATTCCTTGAACGTTTTTGAAAACCATTAACATAGTACTCAGCATGTAAGTATGCAATAAAAACCTGGGAATCACTAATCTCTCCACTAATCCTACATTAAAAGACATACACATGAAATGGCTGTAATCATATTTACCATAAATTAGAAAATAATAATCACATTGAAAGACAGACTTCATGAAACTTTTAGTTTACTCTGCAGCTTTAAAAGAAAGCCACAAATAAGATCCAAGTTTTCTCTCAAAAGTGGTCAAATGCAAATATTTTACTGGTATAACAAAGGAAACTTTGAGGAAGGGCTAATTTTTTGGTAATACCTCACCCATCTGGAATGGTACCAGTTAGCAGGAAAAAAAATAGCAAAACAAATCTTTAAGAAATCACACACAAAAGAAGTCAGTGCAGTGAGTTAATGCAACACAACAGTGATTGCAGAGGACTGGAGAGAAATACAGAGTGACTGTTAATATGTTCTGGTGTCTTTTGGGGGCAATGAAAATATTCTAAAATTGATTCTGTGATGGTTGCACAACTCTATAAATAGACTAAAAGCCACTGAATTGTACACTTTAAATGGGCAACTGTATGCTATGTAAATTATCCCAATAAAGGTGTTCTTAAAAGAAGCTAATGTAGTAAGACCCCTGTATTCTATTTTCTATATGATCTTAGTAAGACAGTCTAATTTCTAACCAAACATAAACAAATATAATAGGAGAATCTAGAATTCCCTGGGGCAGAAACAATGACAGCGCAACAGTCTGAGATCATTCATATTCAGTGTAGTCTGAACTTTACACCTCAGTTCCCCCAAGGAATTCAATGTCTAACAACAAATACAAGTGTATAACATATGACCCTCACTGATCAAAAGCAGAGGCAGAATCAGACTGTGGTGAAAATCATACAACTCTGAAACATATTAAGATGTCATGAACTGTACACTTAAGCAAAGCAAAAGCAAGAAAATATGCACTGTCATTCAGAAAGGTTTAAAACCAACATGCTTATTTTAAAAGGAAACAGAAAACCTGGGGGGCTTAAAGTGATAAAGTTTAAGAAGCTTAAAGTGGTGAAAGCTCTAGAAATGATTTTCCAAAATGACTCATCCCATTGGTTCCAAAGAAATACATTTTATTATTGTAATTAGATTGTGTGTGCTGTATGTGTCCTTTCTGTCCACTGCTTTCCTCTTACTGGAGATGAAACCAAACAGTGCTCATGTATCATAAAAGTATTGCCAGTCCCTTACTAAACAATATTATTTTAATAAATTCTACATCACTAAAAATCCTCTGGCATTATCACTATTCAGAAAGGAGTACTCCAAATTTGGGTGTCCAAAATGATCTCAAATATCCAGAGCCACAGAACTTTCTTTAATGACTCAATTAGATGGAAAAACTAAAATATAAACAAATAGTGCATATCAAATCATGGCCTCTACTTTTAAAAGCACATAATAATTGCTCTGCAGTTCCTCACTGCTGGCAGAACACACATGCTGTCTTAGCACAGCATTTCCTAGAGTTCTCATCGTCTCATGCAGACATGGATTATGCACTCTGCAAAACAGAAAGAAGCAAGTTCCACTTAAAAGCAATACTTACTCTTACAAAGTTATCATTTTTATTTATTCTTTTTTCATATATTCTAGAAGAAAAGCCCCCCTGAACCAAATTATCTAATTTACTATACCCAATCTGTAAGAAATCATGAGTCACAAAAGGGAGAACACAAGAATTAGAAAGCCAGTAAACATGAAGAGGGATGTTTTGCTAACTTCCAATGCTTCTGTTTATGATTGGTGTACTTTACTCCTCACATGGGGTGAAAAAAAACACAGGAAGGTAAAAGAGGTCTTGAATGTAGGTTGGCTTAATTAGTTGATTTAAAATTAACTTTGTAATGAGATATAAAAAAGTATGACTTGTATGTTGAAATTACCTACCTTTAATTTAATCACCTATTTTATTTTACCTGTTACCAATTACCTATTTTGAATGATTCATGCCTCTGTTCCCTTACATATTTGAATAAAAAGTCAACTTCCTATGACAACTTAACTTTGAAAATAAGCCTGAATTATAAATCTCTCAATATACATCAGGGAAACTATCTACCTAAAACCAAATCAGACCCTGTCTCTTTGCCTAAAATCCGAAGTTTTCCCAAAGTCTTGGATCTATGAGCCAAGCTCATAAACATGGCTCTCTCCTTCTGTTTTGTTATTTTTCCACTTTTTCTCCCTCATTCCTTCAGATGAAGAAAAGCTAGACTATGTGTGTGTGTGTGTGTAGTGTGTATCACTACACACACACTACACACACTACACACACACACACATACATACATATCCTGGCACACACAATACTGTTTTGCACCCTTGCCTCTGTATATCCTGTTTCTTCTAATTAGAACATTTCCTTTAGCCCCAAATCATTCACCTGGCTAACTGTTAATCTTCATTCATCATGAAGCCTTTTGCTCCAGAAAGCCTTCTCAGTTTGTTGAGACCTTGAGTCTATCAAGACTTGGAAATGCTAGGTGGGAAAGTACAAAATTGGGGAAGAGACTGTGGGAAGTTGGGGTTCCTATGGCCAGGATCCTCACTGAACTTAAACCACTTGATGATGTGACTGGCTGTTGCTAGACTACTGCTTACACACCAGTAGGCAATAAGCTATTACTGTACTATATAGAGAGGTTGGCCCAGTGCCCTGGTCGGGGGCAGAGACACTAGTAGTGCTGGACCTACCACCAGGAGAACAAGCTGGGTAATAAACCTTTTCACCCCAAAGAGACGTTCTACTGTCATTTCTTTGGTCACACTGAATCAATAGCGAACTTGCCCGAGGTTGAAAGCCATTGGCAAGACAGAGACCAAGGAGATAAGGCTAATGGAAGTAAAGAGGGATGAACAGAGGCACCCAAGGTACTGGAAATATTCTATTCTTAACATGGATAGTGGATACACAGGTGTTATTTAATTAAAACTCTTTAAACCACAAATATATCATTTATATTTTTTGTATGTGTATTTTACAAACATTTTCTTAAAGAAGAGATTTGTCAGTGAAACGTTGAAATTAAAAAAATTTTAAACAGAAAAGAGCTCAAAAGTTTGTACTTCCTCAGTGTGATAACTGTATTGTGATTATACATGACAATGCCCCCTTTTTTTTTTTTTTACTCTGTTTATTGAAGAACGGGAGGAGCATAAATGTTTTGCCTACATATAAAGTTAATGGCCTGTGGTAAAGAATGTAGACTTTTAAGCAGCTGCTTAAAAGCTCCATGCTGTTTGGCTTGGGAAACACTGGGTTAGTGTGCAAGACACCTGGCATGGGTTTGGAGGGAAAAGGTGGGCCTTCTTGGGCAGTGCCTGCCAAGCTGGATGGCAGCCTCCATCGCCTAGCCCTTCCCTCTTGCTCAGTGTGCACATTACCACGTCTGTGCCCAGCTGTTTCTCCTCTGCTAGGGAGGGCCTGGAGCCGGAAGCATAGGAATGTGCTTTCTCCTCCCAGAGTCTTGATTATCCCAGTTGCACTTCTGAGTGGGGCTGGAATTTCCTTTGAGCCCAGGGCCATGGCAGCATAAGCGTTAGTCTACTCTTCCTCCCTGCTCCATTCTCTCATACCATCTTGGCAAAAGGCTTCTTCTTCTGCCCAGTGGCTCACGTCCCATTGCTGCACTTATGGCAAAAACAATGCTTGGAACGATGAGGAAATTCTAAATATTAGAGGCTCTAAGAAATGGAGCCTTCAGTAGTATAATATTCGCTACCAAATGTTTCTGCAGAAGTTAGGTTGTGTTGCTCTGGTTCTGGCAACTGGCTGCTTCCCCAGTCATGTCCCCTCTGGGTGCCATCTTGTTCCCTCTCTCTATTCCCTGGCAGATACTTGCACCCTCCTGCTCTGGGA